TATATATATTTATATGAAATTTATATATATGAAAATATATACACATTTATTAATATGTGTTATATATGCGTTTATCTCGCAGCTTTCTTTACCTATATCTAACATAAAATGTCCACTTAAAACAGACGCTGAAAGAATGATTAAAAACATGATGAAAACTATCGTGGACCTATGCATCGGATTGCCAAGCAAACCGATGTTTTATCAGGTATCAGTATCAGGTACGACCCAGTCAGTATCTTTTAAGACTTCAGTCCTCGTAGGTCCCACTTTTTCATAGCGCGATCGAATAGACTACAGGACTTTAGAACATATCTCTCTTGTCACTTGCTTTGTAAGTAGTAATATTGATACCATAAGTAAAATAGTAAAGCAGCTAAAGGACATTTTTATTCTCTCAAAAGGAAGAGATCTTCTATGAGATCGGCTTGTGTGAAGACAAGAGACTGCGATAAAATCGAGGAAGAAAAAAGCAAAGAACAAAATTATAGCCTGCGAGGTTTGAGACGTTATTTTATTACGCTCCGACAAGAAGAGGTGTATGTACATAACGCGAGTTACACAGTCTCACGAAGGTTTATCCTAATTTTCTTCTTCCTAACTCTATCCTGAAGAATGCTTTTTAGCCTTATCACTCCTTTCGTATTTGTATTACTTTTCGCTTTCGATTGCAAATATTTGCTCTGCTCCACTCTAATTGTAATAAGTGACGCTGTATAAGAAAAACAAATTTAATAATGTAATTAATCACTGACTCTAATTTTTAATTCTTTCCTGCTATCTCTTGCATCTTGTCGATATATTTTGTTTTTCGTAATATGATTCCATAATATGTATGCCACAAATTTTTCACTCCGCATGCTTTTAGTTCAAACGGTCTGATAGTTTCCTATATAATATCGTAATTAGTTGATTGAAATTCTTTATCAATATTAATTTAACGTTACCTCTTAGTTTGTAAGATATTCCAAACTGTATATATTGACACAAAGTACACGTCTGAAAGATTGAATTTGCAGAATATCGCTCATCTTTTGCACTTAACAAGCATAACGTTATTTATTGTATAGATAATGTTAGTAAGAAAGTCTATTTTGCCCGATTACTTCATATGTAGGATGGAAACAGTTTGAAAATATGTGTACTTCGTACAAATGAGTCACAATTAGCGAGAAACGCGATAAAAGCATAACTAGCGAATGTTATCGCATTGAACACAATACGATTGCGAAATTAATTGTAAAAAAGGATTCTATCTATAAAGCAGTAAGTTATTATTGGTAGAGGACCGCCCATTTTTTGGCAATTATAAAAATATATAAGATGTCTCTCGGGATTTCACCTTGAGGTATTATCTCCCCCTTTATGCAGATAAAACTACATTGATAAATCGATAATAACGAATTAGTCGTTTAAGATAAAATTAATTTATATATATTGTCTTTTTTATATATATGTAAATATGTACTTTCTATATATAATACAATAATATTACAGTAGAGAGGATTTGACGATAGCATATTAAGATTTTGATATCGCAATTATGAAAGTTATCACTAACTTATAATAAATGTATCATACCACTACGTTCCAATTTTCGTATTAATCAATATTCTTATACATTTCTGAAGTGATAAATGTTCTAAATGAGCAGTGTCAAACTTATACATACATCGTGATGATTTTTCTATTTCACTACCACTATACATACCACGTATACTCTTTTGTATTTTAGGATTCATGGCAGCCATTAGAAAGAAGTTGGTTATTGTAGGCGACGGTGCTTGTGGTAAAACATGTCTTCTCATAGTGTTCAGCAAAGACCAGTTTCCTGAGGTGTACGTACCCACAGTATTCGAGAACTATGTCGCTGATATCGAGGTGGATGGCAAACAGGTGCGTCTCGTTTTAAAATATTTTTCTTATTACCTTCGTCAAAAGATCTGCTAAAATTCCTCTTTTAACGACCTTCTCACTTCTTCGAAACAGGTGGAACTGGCTCTTTGGGACACAGCTGGACAAGAAGACTACGACAGGTTGCGTCCGTTGTCATATCCGGACACGGATGTTATCCTAATGTGCTTCTCCATCGATAGTCCCGATTCCTTGGAGAACATTCCCGAGAAGTGGACACCGGAGGTGAAGCACTTCTGCCCAAACGTGCCCATTATCCTTGTTGGAAACAAAAAAGACTTGCGCAATGATCCTAATACCATCAAGGAGCTCGGCAAGATGAAACAAGAGCCAGTTAAGCCTGAGGAGGGTAGGGCCATGGCGGAAAAAATCAATGCTTTCGCCTACCTTGAGTGTTCTGCCAAAAGCAAGGAAGGTGTAAGGGAAGTTTTCGAAACGGCAACTCGAGCTGCATTACAAGTATGTCTCAATTACCTATTCTAATAGTAATTACTAAAAAAAAATGAGAAAATCAGATCGCTAAATTGGGAGTTAATATGAAAAGATATATTCAAATTTCAAGAAATATTTATCAATATATATATATATATTTTTTAATATTACGACATTGCTTAATATTTATTATCGTTGTTAATACATGTACTAATGCAAATATTTTGAAATCTTAGGTAAAGAAGAAGAAGAGGGGAAGATGTAGGCTTCTTTAAGATGTTGTGACAAGTGAGCCCGTGATTACGGGCAAAATTATGGAATTGCGGAACTAGCTGCAAAGAAGCTAGTCATAATACCGCAGATCCCCAGCGGAAACCATGATATAACATCTTACCTTTAATTATTTTACATAATAAAACAAGTCTACTGCAGCAACAAAAAATTAGTAAAACAAAAAAGAAGGTGCAACCGCGTCGACAAATACATATATACCTAATGTTGTAAACTGTCAATGAAACTGAAAGGACTCGAGAAATACTAAGTAAATTCAATACAAGTATACTTATAATCTTACGGAAAACTATAATGTACATTGTAATGACTATATTGATTGTGTAATGTTTAACAGTAATGAATTGTGCTTCGAGTTTAAATGATTAAAACAAAAAAATGATTGTTATACCAACAACTATCTACATTTTACGGTACACAATTATCTTTATCATTGTAGTAATTATTACTATTATTATTACTGTCTCATTATTAATATAATTAATATTATTATTATTATTATTATATGCATTCTACATCTTTGTTTTTTAATCGTAGTGTCTCTTTATTTTGGTAATAAACAAAATGAAAGAAAAATTTTTGAGCGAATTGAGATAAAATATCAAAATATTGAATACGCAAAACGTGCGAAATACAGTCAAAGAGTAATAAGACTCAGAGAAACAATTCGAGAGAACTTTAAATTTTGCATCTTGCTTTTTTATTAAAAATCGTTACATTTTTGCGACTCTTGAATGGTGAAAAGAAAGTAAACGGACATTTATTATATACGCGCATAGATAGATCAACAGATCACTTGGACTTTAAGATACCAATTAGATTAAATGTGTGTATTATTAGTATTTTATTATTATTATTACTTTATTATAATTATGGTACGATGACACTAACATAACGGAGATTATAACAGCGACTACATTTATATTTATGTATTTCGTGGAACGCGTTCTTTGTGTCTGACCAAACCGTGACTGGACTTGCGGTTTGCGCTTTTTTATACACATACATACGCCATCGATATCTTTAGCGTATGATATACTAAACTCGGAGATTATCGGTCGCTCGTGGCGACTTCGTATATATCTCGCTTTTGATTTTGTGTGCCACAATTGTAGAGCCGAGCTACTTCGCAAGATTCACACCAATGTTCGACCTATTTGTTTCACCATTTGAGCTCTTCCCGTTTCGCTTGTGCTGTCGTTTACGCCGAGATGAAAAGAGAAAGAATGATGCTACACTCGTCTTCTATAGATCCGTCTAATCTATTGTAAGATTATTGTAATGAAAAAATTGTCTCTTACAAAGATGACGTTGAATTAACGGCCGCGTAACGCGATGCCTCTCTCGGCCGTTAATTCAATGGGCTCGACTGCGGAATTGTGTTCACTAAGTTCTCTCCTCGTTTCTCTTAGCGAATAGTAGATCTTGTTATTACACAGTACGCTTTTACGGAACTAATGTCTCTTCAAGACATCTGAAGGAAAAAAAGAAGCTTAGCGACACTTACTTAAGATACTTCTGCCACGAGCAAACACGCGCACGACGGATTCGTAGAAAGCAAAGAAAAGGAAGGAAGGCGAAGAAAGAAAGTGAAAAAGAGATGATAGAATGGAAGACGTGTATATTAAGGGATTAAGTTTGCCCGAGTTAATGAGTGCTTTGAGAAATACGTGTCGAATACACGCTTCACTCTACAGGTTGCGCGTCGCTGCGAAGCTCGAAAGTGTTCTTTTTATATTGAGTTTCGTGGTATGTAGATGTGTGTATACACACATCTATATATACGTACATACGTATATTGTATCAATTACGCACCCGAGATATTGTGTATATACATATATGATATAAACTCTACCATATTTTCGCGTATCACGATAAACATACGCGCATCAAGATTCAAATACCGTTTTTCCAGAGCACACACATACACATGTTTACACACCATACTTCATATACTTCCATCGCATGGCAGAGAAAGAGAGCAATAAGCAAAAATTAATGAGAACAGGCTTGATCGTCTAGGAAGATCTTTTAATACTGTCACATGAAATTGATGAACGCGTGTTCGATATGACCGTTCTTTTTAACGAGCTAAGAGAAGAAAAGAAGATATGCATGCATCTCCTACGTCCGCACAAATACATATACACACATACAAGCACACGAGTACTTTTTCCTAAAAGGCTCCGTAAACTTCAAGATTATCGATAAAAGGCGATCTTATGTGATCGTCATAAGCTAATCTTTTTCATAAATAGAGATATTTTGAGACTCGTGTTTAACTGATTTGTACGAGAAGAAAAACCCAAGAAATGAGAGAAGTATCGGCAGTTTTTTTCCGATGTGTGTGTGTGTGAGAAAAAAAAATACTAAATTCGATTTTTATGAATCAGGAAAAAGGAAAAGGGATCATTGATTTTGACTTCCGAAATCTTTCTACCGGCTCACATCCTTTTTCTGCAAAACTACTAATTAAGCTTTTGTATGTAAGACTGTACGATTAACCTACGAACGCTATGATAACAAATTGTAACTAACAATAAACATTTCTTATGACGTATATAATCAGCTCTACTGCTAGATGACACCTGTTAAAGCGAGAAATTTTATTTGCGTTAGTATCTCTTTTTTTTTTATTTTTTTTATTTTAACATGATACTATTCGTATATACATCATAAATGATAACTTATAATTGGCTTCAGGAAAAAGAATAGAAAATCTTAACGTATTTTTCTTATAAAACAATTTATTTTGGCTCTTTCATATATAAACAAAAATCGCTGCATTATCTCTTAACTTAAGAGTAGTCGAAATACGCGATATTGGAATGGAGTGTTGCTTTCTGTATAACTTAATAATTCGCCAAACATCCTAGGAAAGCATGTTGCGAAAAAAAATTTCAAATCGGTTCTGCGCGCTTTATCACGTCATTATATAATCGTTACAAAGTATGTAATTAGTAGATGTAGACAATCCTATATGCTAGAGACACTCCCCCTCCTACCCCCATTCGAACATCCATTTTTCACTTATTGCAAAACGTCTCGCGGAAAACCCATGATATCTGCACTCTAAATGTTATTTCTGTCTATACACATTTGTTCGCTCTTGAATGTACTAGAGTTGCTTTGTGTATTACGTGAGAAAAACTCGCGGATCGCTTCGTAGATTAATGCATTCAAAAATGCAAAAACGAACTTTGTAATCGTTTACATCAGTTAATGTTTTATAGTTCGTCAGTTCTAGGTTTCAGCGCCTTGCCCTTGCGATCGTAGCCCTTGAGCTCGTCGGTAGAGTGCTTGGCAATATACTTGATGAAGTCGTCAAGCTCGCGACCGCCCTCATATCTGACTGGATTGTCCTTAGCATCCTTAGGCGCCCAGTAGAGCGTTGGGAAACCGCGTACTTCGTATGGCGCTGGCACGTCGTTCGCTGTGGCGTCGAATTTGACGATCTCAATATCTTCGTCCACCAGTTTATCACCTAACTCGTCAAATACTGGTGCCAGTTTTTTACAATGGCCACACCAGGGCGCGTAAAACTCGATTAGTGTATCTTTGCCGTTATTGACAACGACTTCGTCAAAGTTCTTGGCAACCCCAACCTTCACGTTACCCGTATTGCTATCTGGGATTGACTCGGATTTGAGATACGGTTCCAAAGCACCGGCCTGCAGATCCTTTAGGAACGCCTCGAACGTGTCCACGGAGAACTCATCTTTGAGAACAAACTTTTGATTCTTATCATCTCGTGCTAGAATAACTGGTTTATCACCCTTTGCATAGTCAATGCCAAAGTCGTTCAGCTCATGTTGGAAGTCATCCTTAGAAGATATAGCGAAGGAGTACGCGGGGAAGTCCTTGGCGACCTTGAGGATCCTGTTACGCCAGTAGTTCGTACCCTTGGCGTTCTTCACGTAATCTACATTGTAGTAGGCAATTACCAGAGGGTTCTTAAAGTCCTGCGCGTTGTCACGAGTGCGTACACCGGCGATACCGTAGCTGTAACAAAGTCGGTGTTAAAAAGTGATTCCAAGATTATCTAAAAGTTTCGATAAAAAGATGAAACTTACTAGTTCTTGGTAACGAATTCATTCACGTCACTAATAGAATCGCTGCCTTTGTATACAATGTTGTTATCTTCGAACTTGTTCTGGAGTATTTTTGGTCGGTAAAGAACAATTGCATTCCTGAAAAAAGGCGCGTTTTAGTTAATACATTTCATTTCTCGAACAGTTACTTTCTTTGTACAAACGAATACAGAAAAATTATCTCTATAATTCTTGAAATACATACTTATGAGATACTTTGTCCAAAATTTCCTTCGTCGATGTGTGAGCGAATTTGACTTTCTCTCTGAGCTTCTTGGAAACAGTATGATGTGCCGCAGACAATGGTGAATCATCCTTTTCAAAATAACCTATCACGACGACTTCGTCAGTTTCTAGGAACGTTTTGTGGCCTTTTTCGCTAGTCAACTCTTGAGATGCCGGTCCCACTTGAGACTGAAACGATAATCACAGGTAAGAAAATTGTACAATTAGACCTTCATAAATAGATAAAAGGACACGAGATGTTACCTTCATGTATTTAACAATGCCGGCTGCTTCTCTAGGACCGTTATAGTCGGACCTGAGCTCATTATGCTCAAAGATCTTGAGTGTCGGATAACCATTGACGGAGAACTTGTTGCAAGTTTCCTTTCCGGCCTCTGTACAGTCGACCTTGGCGAGTGTGATTGGTGGCTCGCTACCTATGAGCAGCTCAGCTGCTTTTGCATACTCTGGCTTCAAACGTTTACAATGCCCACACCTGTGGCAATGAAATAACACATTCTATAATTAACTTCCACTTAAAAAATAATTAATAATATGGTGACAAGCTAATTTTAGTAATAAACTCAACTTCTGGACGAATGTTCAATAACTATTGTTTTACATAAAACTATAATCTCTAAAAAAAAGGCATTAGAACTACTTTTTGCTATTTGGTTATATCTGTGTTCAAAATAAGTTTTAATCTTAAGGCAAATAATCTTTTTTTAGTTTATTATATCCTTTTGAACAAAATAGTAAAAACTAGAAAAAGAAAAGACTGGAACAACCAGCGAAAAATATAAAAAAAGAACAAAAAAATTAATGATAAATAAAATAGAAAAAAATGTATGATTAACACAGTGAAAAACTGTTTTAATATCGTGAGATAAAAAATAAAGGTAACTGTTCACGCGCGACATTCGACAGATTTTGGAGATATCAGAAATTTGGATACGTCATCAAAAGCTAATTGAATAATGCCGTATGCCAATGTTTTGCGCTTCAATTAAACACGCAAAAAGTATATCTCTCGATAGAAGATATGAATCTTATCGTCAACAAAGACTCCGTATTACAACGTAACACAAATTAATTATACTATAAAGAGCTTCTC